TATTACATTATTCTCAGAATAAAACAAGAGCCCATTCCTTGTCTTTGTTTCAGGGGTGTAGTGTTTCCCACAATACTGAACAGGATTGCAGAAATATCAGGTTTTGATTATGTGGTTCCCAGAGTGTCCCCTGACCTCTGGAGCCACTTGAGGAGAAATTCAGGAATCTGAAGTGCCCTCCTCTAAAGCTTTTCACTGAGCTGGCCTCATTTATGAGACAAAAAGGTTTGAGGAATGCCAGTCAAAAGTTCTTCTTTTCCTCTGTAGAATGCAATGCATTGTGCAGCCCGGTAGCCTCTGTTTTCATTATCACACAAGTATAAAAAATGTCTTTCCTTACAACTTTCTGGCATGTACATAAAGATGTGCAACGCACATTCCTGTGCAGGCTAAGAAACATCAGAAAATGTCAGTCTTTGTTCTGGGGTCACAGATCTTATTATCACAGGTTAAAGTTACTGAAGCGTCACTGTCATCCGACTCTTTCTGCCAGAGGGTCATGAAGGTGAACAGCAGGGTGGCAGGAGCCAATATAGGAAGCACGTTTATGTTAGCAGGACTCCCTGACCTGGCTCTTCAGAGAGTTTCCTGTGGTGGTACCTGAGCAGCAGCGGACCAGGGGCCTTCCAACAGAAAAATCACATCAAATTAATTACACCGAAATATACGTGTTTTCTTGCTGTCAAAGCAAATTCCTTGCATGTCAAGGGGGGAGAAAAAATTGTATGTTACTCTAATCTCTGGAATGTGTCACCATGTACTCCTGGCAGCCATTGTTGAGCCTCAGAGAGTGATCTGCCATGAAGTCACTAATGAAGGTAATGACTCAAGAGCTGGGACTTCAATACCAGCCTGGATGCGAGAGCCACTTTGAAAGCACCTGGCCTGTTGCCAAAAGACTGGAGCTGCCAGTGGGTGCTCATTAGACCTCTTTGTACTGGTGGCAGGTGTGTTAATCCTATCAGGCCACGCTTTGACCTCGGGACCTTGTTTGCGGTTACTGTACAGCCTCACGTTCAAGCCGCTCAAGGCCTGTCACCTCCTGTAGGAGACGACAGCCCAGATCTGACATAGACAGGCTCATTACCCTCCAATAACCTTCTTCAGGAGAGGCTAAGGGTCAGTTTTTGGTCTCTCAGAAATAGTTTGTAAAATGTGTTGTCTGACCACACTGGAAATCAGAAGTGAAAAGCTGGCCAATGTAAAAAAGGGGAGTGGTGATATGATTTAAAAACAGGGATAACGGCACATTTTCTTAGACAGTATCTCATGGCAGACATTCATAATGTTGCATTCAGTTGTGCACAATAAATGTGCCACAAATACTTGAATAACAAATGGAAAAAGGATCTGCCTTCATTCTTGGCTTCTCACCTCTGCACAGCCAGCCAATTGCAGTATGACGTGGGGGGGCTGAAGCTATCCAACCACGAATCACAAGTGGAGTGATAGAGTTAGTGAGGGAGAGCGAAGGACAATCTTCAAGCTACTCTTTCAAACAAAGATTAATAAGAACACAAATATTTTGCTTTGCTTCTAGATGGAGGCCATATTTCTGGGGGTGAGAGGTTTCTTATCTAATATGTTGTAACCGCTCTGCCACCAACACTTGGTTTCATTTGAGCAGTCTGTAGCTGTTGACCTTGTATCTCAGCAACAAAGAACTCGTCTGACTCCATTATTTTGTCTCAATGTCTTGCCTGCTTCTGACGTCTGTATGTTATGTAAATTAACACCTGCTGCTTGTGATCACTTTTAGCTGACCAGCAGCGAGAAAAGCCACAGCTGGAAGAGCATGATAAATATTCCTTCTCAACAAACATTGACTAGCAAACCGGGGAAGAAAAAAAAAAAACAAATCAGATGACCTGCACAATCGATTCAATATGCTGAATAGGCTGAAAAGTAACCAACAGGGTCCAACTAGTGCCAACACCCTGGAAAAATGTGGTCTCTCAGAAATAGTTTGTAAAATGTGTTGTCTGACCTGTGACACAGTTTGGTGCGTCACAGGCCTAAAGATGCTAAACTGCTGGTAGTGCTAAAGGAAAAGTCAAGGCATTAACAAAGTCATCAAGATTATTCATGAAGGGACCATGGAGGTCTGTACAAAATATCTTGGCAATCCATTTAGTACGGCCATTGCTTGAGCCATGCAGCTACTGTAGCACAACTCGTATAAAGCAGCCCTAAGAAAAGGAATGTGGAGAGGTAGAGAAGCCAGTTTACTATTGTTACACTGGCTAAACTCTTTCGGTGGCTCCTTGCTTGACTTGGTGGCGCTGTGTTTCAGGGTTTAGTACAATAAAACACCACATTACATCTTTCAAGTTTTCAACAGCTTTAGGTGGTGTATACCAAAAGGTGCCACCCCCATACGTTGCATTTTACAAGGCATGGCTCAGTTACCTCCAACAACACACTGATTCTACAATACAGCAATTCTCCTGTTGTGTGTAACAGAGGATTTCATGGGTGTGGTTGGTGTATTGGTTACCCCCCCCCGCAAAAAAAACCTCATCAACATGTCTGGGTGTTTCTGAAATTATCTGAATTATCTTCCTCCCCATAAAAATGAATGGATTTTGCTCTAGGTAAAAAAAAAAAAAAGAAAAAAAAGAAAACTAAACAATTGCTGAAACTCCCCCAATACAATGGAAATGGATGCTATTACAGTGCATTGTGGGTCATACATTTTCTGCTTCTGAAATACACACACACACTTGCTAAATAGAGCAAATATTGAAACATTATAGCAGCAGTTTTGAGAATCTTCCTCAGGTTACACATTAATTAGCAGAAGGACAACGTCCTGTCACCATTTCCAATTAGTTTATCAAACTTTGTGTAAAATTTTAATTAATGCACCTTTAATTCTTATCTTTTTCCATGAAGATTCACTCAAGGAGACAACAGTATCTAAAAAAAGCATCATCTCATTCATCTGAATGGGACTGCAGCAAGAGCACAGACATCTCAAACAAACAACGCAGGTCATCCAAAACCTGGCTCAACTTTTGCTAAGGCTCTGCACTGGGCGGTCAAATTCATGCATTCACACATTCCTGGTAGATTACTTTGTCCTATTTACCTGGTGATAAAATTACTGTCATAACAGACCAGAGCTGTAAAATTCTGCTTCGTAGTATTATAAATCACTGCACAGGGTTTTGGTGTCTGATAAGCCTTCATACTAATTCATCTATTACTCAAACTGGAATTCCTGGATCTGACTGTTTGCCAGTTTTTTGGTCTGACCAATCGCTAACTTATGTTTGGGAATTGTTTTAAGGCAACTACAAACTGCAAGTAAAGCACTTATGTAAACCTGAAAAATCTAAATAATTTTTAAATGGCTCGTCAGTGGCCTCTATAGTCCAGAAAAATCATATACAGTGACTTAAAACAGAGGTGGATATGGAGAGCTAGATGGAGCCTCACTGTGGATTAGACTTCAAAGTGCAATTTACTGTCAAAGCCCACTCTCTCCTTACTCCAACACCAACACAAGGTGATTTTTGCACTGCACTATTCAAAAAGAGAGAAGCAAATTGGACCACACAGACTTTTCTACTCTATCCCTGGAGCCATACAAGCTACAGAACAACACTTAATATGCAGAAGTTAGATTTTTCCCTTTTAGATCATTCAGTAAATGCCTCTAGAGATGCTGCTGATCAAGGACGTTCCAGAGACGTCATGTCTAGACTTTGAAAGGAGCCCTTTGTAAAATCTCAGCCTAAACAGAAGTGTGAATACAGAACAACAGCCGGTCTCTCAGTTTCCCTCTTTTCCTGGGGCCATTCCTTATCCTTTGTTTGAATATGGCAAAAGGACAAATGCCCATGTCCTTACAGGATAGCTTTCATAAAATAAAAAAAACTTAAATTTTTTTTTTTTTTTAAATCACAAACTTAAAACAATGCTTTGTGCCAAGATTGTTGCTCCAAAAACAAAAGCTAAAGAACAGTTAGAAGTCTGGTTCTCATTCAGAAAGACTCTATTGAAGGAATAAGGAATTTCTGACAGATCAATATGTGCAGGCAGGAGAGCACTCTCCACACTCAAGTGCAAACCTCCACAATACGATGAAAGGTGAGGCCTCTCCTGAATGTGGCTGTGGAAGTCAGACATCTGGGTATCTGTGGGAACCCAAACACTTCAAGGAAACCAGACTCTAGAGATGTTGAAAGAATAAAATTAAATGAGGCGAAATATATTCGATGAACTCGTTTTCTTTCAAGTTGCATTCATAAAATGGTTTTTTTTGTTTTGTTTTGTTTTGTTTTGTTTTTTTTACATTTTTCAGGCATGCATCTACAGTATATTATCTACTATATCCAACCACAATAACAGATTTTGTTTGGATCCAAAGGGTTAATTGTGATAACAATTTAATAATTTCTTGAAAGTATTCTGGAAGAAAAATATACTCAGAGGAAGCAATGGGGAAGTTGTTGTATATTCACCCTGAATGAACAAACTCTGAATCTAAGCACATTCCGATGCCAAGTCACACAGGCCACAGAAAGGTGTGGCCACAGGCTATATGATAATATCAGTCATACCTAAGAACAATAACTCCACCACAGAAAATGGTGAGTATTTAATAATTACTAATTTGTAGTTACTTTTATGAGGTTTAACAAATAGGCCTGTAATTTCCTACATAAACAGTATTTTCAACAATCCCAATATAGAGAGTAAAAACAAGACATTTTTGCCTCTACTCAATGTTTATATATGTTAGTCTTTCTGTCCTGAATTAGTTTAATAGTCTGTGCCATAGACCTCTTTGGTAAGACAATTAAAACACCCTGCTAAACATGTTCATATGTTTCATTAAAAAACTACAGCCCGACCTTTTTTTATATACAGTGAGGAACAGAAGTATTTGAACACCCTGCGATTTTGCAAGTTCTCCCACTTAGAAATCATGGAGGGGTCTGAAATTCACATTGTAGGTGCATTCCCACTCTCTGAGAGACAGAATTAAAAAAAAAAATTCAGGAAATCACATTGTATGATTTTTAAAGAATTTATTTGTCTTGCACTGCTGAACATAAGTATTTGACTCATTCATCTGTTCTTTCTGTCTCCACTCTCAGGCAGTCGGTGTCATGCAGCAGCCCATGCAGCCTGTAGCACCCCCTGTTGCCTTGGAGACCCACCCCATGAACTTATCTCCTGTGCCACCTACCGACCCCTTGGTCAGGAAGCAGGTTGTGCAGGACTTAATGGCACAAATGCAGGGAACATACAACTTCATGCAGGTGAGGAGTTAGTGCTAGGAGTGGCTCTTTGTACTCCAGATATTTTACTATGATACTAATCTTTTAATCTGTTTGCAGGACTCCATGCTGGAGTTTGATGGACAGCCCATTGACCCAGCCATTGTATCAGCACAGCCCATGAAACCTGCTCAGAGCATGGACCTACCACAGATGGTGTGTCCTCCAGTTCACCCTGAGTCCCGACTGTCACAGCCCAACACTGTTCCTGTCCAACCTGAGCCTACACAAATCCCTATCATCTCCCCAACACCGCCCCCGCTGTATCAGACCTCGCACACACCAGATCCTCAACCTCCAACAGAATCAATCGACCCCATCCAGACCTCAATGTCGTTGACGTCAGAGCAGCCTCCCCCCCTCTACAGCTCTGTCCCCGGCCTCTCAGACACAGGTTTTCCAGCCTGTTTCCAAATCTCCTCACAGCAGTGGCATCAATGTCAATGCAGCACCATTCCAATCAATGCAGACAGTGTTCAACCTCAATGCCCCAGTCCCACCAGCTAATGAGACAGAGGCTTTGAACCAGGCCAGCCAATACCAGCA